ATGTTTCTGGTTTACAGCCTCTCTTCTGTAAGCACAAACCCTATGAGACCTTCTTTGCTGTTGCTTTTCTTTCTTACTTTAAATGTAGTTTGTTCTCACTTTCCTTTAAAAATGAAACCTCTTTTCCATTTGGGAGGGTTTTAAACATTTGCAAGTATTTTTTCATTTTTATAAGGAAAAAAAAAGTTGACTAACACAGTCCATGCTAAAAAAAGATCACTCCTTTTTAGGGCTGTTTAGGGAGTCCAAGGGAATACTAGACACCAATGTGTAGATGATGCCAGTTTTTATATAGCACAGTTTATAGTATTGCACTATAAAGGCAGATGATCAAAAATATGACCTGTCACATCTACCTTTGAAAATCTTCCCCACAGGCCTTCTGTTTGGCAAAGGCAGCATTTTAGCTGAAGTTCTTGCTATGAGGGACAGTGCCCTGCTGTAGACCCTCTTTAGGCACTGGTAGGTGCTCTAAGGTCTCCCTGGAGCCTTCCCTTCTCCAGGCTGCACAAGCCCAGCTCTCCCAGCCAGTCTTCACAGCGAATGCTGTCTTATAGGGGTGATTTCATCAGCAGCCATGGCACTGGAGAGGCTGTGCTAATCTCACCTGGACTGGGTTCAGAAGATAAGAACAGACCAGCTCCCACAGTCACCAGCCCAAGAAACTTAGACAAAATTCAGACTAGATTTAAAACTGAACACAGCTACTGGGCTGGTGGTCCTAGCTGCTGCTCCACCCTGTGCCCAGCCCTAGGGACTCTTACAGGACCAAGTGCCCTTGAGAAAGTAAAGAAGGGCATGAGGTAGGCAAGTTTCAGTGGAAAATTAATTTTATACAAGAAAGAGAAACAGAGAAATTTTCAGAAGGATTAAAGCAACAGGAGTTTTCCCTGTGAGTGGAGAAGCTGCTGGATGGACTCTAAGTCAGCTCCAGTGGGGACACCAGTGACTTTCAGCTCTGATGGAACTGAGGAGCAAACCTAGCACTGATGTCTGAGCAGCTCATTACGCTCCAAATTTCCTAATTTTCAGTATGGAATGCTTTCACCACTGAAATTGAAGGACTGAATGCATAAAGATTTTTTTGAAAGCCATAATCTTCTAGCTAGCAGAAATACACTGTGTCTCTAGCATGAGGACTTGCCTGCTGTAAAATGTCTTGGTTTATATTTAAACCAGCCATGGTGTTCAGTGACATCTAGGGACTGCCTTCGAGAATTGCATTGCCTGGAAACGACATCATCTCCTTGTGTCTCCTTCAGGCTGCAGCTGGGAGTTCGAACCCTAAACCATCGCTTCCAACTGCGGTGGTCATTGCTGAAGTCTGCAGACAGACATTTCCATCTTCACAGTGACTGAGAAATGCATAATCATGACCTGTGGAAACAGATAAATATGTCTGCTCTATCCATGCTGAGGCAAGATTTTATATGTTCAGACATACTTAAATACTACTTAAATATTGCAGGTTTTCATCTGAATATAAAGTTTGTGCTCACCCCTCCACAAGGCCCCATGACCAGGGGGAGATTTGTTTAGTCAATTCATAGTAAATATAGAGGGGGTGCAGGCAGTGTGTCCTTGGTCACATTTTAAAGTATCTAAGTTATAAACTGTTACTGTATTGTTGGTTAAGATACAAGATTATGTGATTTTTTTTTCCTATTTAACAACTGTAAGTGAATAAACATCAGTTACTTCATTCGCAGCATTCCTCTTCTTTCAATACCACTTTTCCGAGTCAGGAAAGCTACTTTTAATTCAATTTACTTTTCAAGTTCCTGCTGTTGGTATTTCTAGGCATTAGCCATGTGGGAAGCAACTGCTGACTTGGAGGAAAAGGGTGCCATCTGTGCTTGGCATGGGAGTGCAGGAGCATCAGGGCATGGGCACCACAGGTTCTGGGGGCTGTCAGTGCCTTCCTGAAACAGGCTGCTGAGGGGGACAACAGGAACAGGGCATAGTATGTTCCAAACTAAAGCAACTCTACTAAAAATTCCTCCCTTTCTTCCACCAAACCTGCTTGGGATTACAGAAATGAATACAAAAACAGGCAGCTACCAAAGAAGTCACACTGTTCTGCACAAAAAATACTCTGGAGATTTAGTTCTCATGACAGGATTCATTCAAACTCAGGATCACTTTGTTAAGAAGCCGACTGGGCTGTAAAGGCAAACAAGTCCATGCTTTTTGGACTGAACAGCAGCATGAGCCATAGGGAACCATGGGACTTACACTGTCCCTGTAATTGTGTGGCCAGCGCCTGCAAACCCTGGTAACTGTACCCAAGGCTGTTCCAGCTGGGAGGTTTGCTAGTTAAATAGAGAGAAGGGCTCAAAAGGACCTTGTAGTCTAAAGTCCCAGAGCAGGCTCTGTGTAAGAGCACTTGACCTGTTCTGTCTATTCCCCTTCTCAATTTATTGAGGAATGCCTGAGTATTCCAGTGGTTCTCAGCTATCTCAGCTGTGGAAGAGTCTTCTCCAGAACATGACTTGGATATGCTGTGGACAGCCTTTCCCCTGGTTGTCAGAGGAGCTCAGCTGAGATGACGTGTAAGCTGGTACCTTGGTCGCCAAAAACATGGTGGTGAACTCTGACCTACATTTCTGGTGTGGCAACCTCAATCAGCTCTGCTGACAGTTCATTTCTCAGTAAGATACTATGTACTGAGGAGTGGTGGAGTGTGACATGCTTACTTGTTTATTTGCTTTATTTTTAAACTCAGATGCGTTTTTTTGAATATTGTCTGTAACACTATGCGGCTGGGAGGGATTCCAGTGCCTTCCATTCCTTGAGGTTTTTGGATTATTTTGCTTTGGTTACTTTGCTGGTTGCTGGAAAGCATTTACTGCACATGCTTGTGACAAGGAAACCATTTGGGCTGTTACAAACATACTGCTAATGAAATAACCCTGTTGTGTTTTGAATTTGTGTTGCACGTTTTCACAGAGATACCCCTGGTTTCAGTGCACGCCAGGCAGACCTGGCAATGCTGCCCACCCTGAGCAGCGCTTACAGCACAGGTCCATGTGTTGTCACCCCTTTGTGGTCCTCCTGCTGCCCTGACAGCCTCACTGGGAGAGGGCTCTCACACCAGCCCACGTTCCACACAGTCGTGGCTCCTGCGCCTTCCTGGGTGAAGCAGCGTTTTCCTGACTGACCTTGGCTGGGAGGGGAAGGGCATGAGGCTGCAGACGCCAGTCCATGTGCCCTTGTGCTGCTCTTTGGTGGTCACTTGAGGTTCCAGCTCTTCACCCTTCTACCATCTGTTTCATATAGGCTTTTCTTATGTTAATTACGAACCTACTTATTTGCTTGTGAATAGGATAAATTATGTTTCTCCCTGGAGAAATCAAATGCTCCCAATCTGTCATGCCTTCAGAGAGAAACCTGTGCCCAGGCTCAACAGAAATAATTGCCTTTGCCCCAGCATAATGACAAAGAGATAAGCAATCTCTGTGGCCCAGCAGTTTAGTGAATCCATCTTCCCTTCCTAACAGCTGGATTAGAGGCTTTGTGCTCCCAGGATCTGCAATAGTTTCCATCTCTCAGAGAATACAAATAATTGCTAAGAACAAACTATGCTATCACAGTTGTCATATATTTCTTGGTTGAGTTATCAGCAATAACTTATCTATTATCCAGGGTTTATTGTTTTGGCACCTTTGGGAGACATACATGAAACACAATGAATATAAATCACATTGCATTTTGACAGTATCTTAAGATTTATGAAGAAACTAAAGAGAAAAAAGGATAATTTTGTTTGTAGAAAAGATGGGAAAATTGTTGATTCAAAATGCAGTTAGAATGGTCTCAGTCTGGTAAGACAATGAGAGATAAGTTTACCTTCAGATCCATGGAATAATTACAGTCAGTTGAAAATAGTAAAGGATTTTTAAGCAGGTTTACTGAAGTGAATGGAGGGCAGAAATGGAAGCATTTACCTTCAAAGTCATGGGTAGATTCATAGAGAATGCTTTTGAAAATCCTGCCCATAATTTGTACTCTTCATAACAAGTTAACAGTCACAAGGTTGTCTTTTCTGTTTGATTTTTGAGGAAAAATGTTTGCCACCATAACAGCAGGAACAGATAAAATACAGGGAAGCCTTATTACAATCACAAACCTCTGTTAGACCCAGGGAACCCGAAGCTATAACACCATGACATTTTCCATGAAAAATACTTAATCTCTAGTCTCACTTGTACAGATTCTTTATTCCCTCCTAGGCTCTGTAATATGCTACTAACCATTAAGGTGATTCTCAGAGCATGGAAGTGAGTGACCTAAGCTGATAACTTTATTCAGCCTGCCTGAGTCCCAGGCAAATCTTTCACCTTCAAATCAGATGGGAAATGCCCTGTGGCAGAAGGTTCTACTTCTGTTGTCCCAACACAAAAAGAACAAGCTGGCTGTCAGTCTTGCCCCTGGCTGCTCTCTCAGGTCCAGATTCTGGTCTCAGAAAAACCATCTCTGATGGCAGCACAAATCTGCACCCTCAGGAAGACACATCTTACTCTTACATTGTTGCTTCAGTAAGATGTCACCTAGAATACCAGGTTGATGCATTCTGATGAATTAAAATTTGATTGCCACTGAAAAAATGCCATTGTGATAAAACCTAGTTTGAAACAAATTGAATTGCCATGAGTTGGATTAATGCCTGGTTTGATCAAAAGTGCTCTTTAAAAAAATGAAAATATTTCCATCTCAACATTGCTAATTTTATTAGGCCAGCCATAAACTGTCATTAACCTAAATTTTAAAGGTCAGCCACTAAACCATGTTATTAATTATTCATGTAGACATAATTCCTAATTTCTAAAATAGTGGCAAAATAATTAGAGCTCAACATGAAAAGCAAAATGAAGAGAGATCGATTAGGAAAATACTAGAAAAACAAAATCTGTAGAAACAAATTACTTAAAGAAGTGATTATCACAGAAAAACACAGTGAAACATGACAGGCCTCAAAGAAAGAAATGATACTTACAAAGTTTTAAACATATGCACTTTTATTTTCTGTCCTTTTCAAGAATACTGATGATCAGCAATAGAAAAGGTGGCATTAGGGATTTCTGACTGAGCACACATGGAAGCACAGGCAGTACCAAGTACAGGACACCAAGCCCCAGTACAACAACTTGCTTAGAGGTTCTTGTGCTGTGTGAAACAAGTAGTTTAGAAACACAAGACAAATGTTCCTTCATGGTGACTGATGGTTCACTTAGTGCACTATGCAACCAGATCTTTGAGCATCATTAACAGAAGACCTCTAAAGGACGGACTTGAACATCAAATATCACTTTGCCTACTCAATGTAGGCAAAGTGAGTGACCTAAGCTGATAACTTAATTCAGCCTGCCTGAGTCCTAGGCAAATCTTTCACCTTCAAATCAGATGGGAAATGCCTTGTGGCAGAAGGTTCTATTTACTGTAAGCAGTTCTATTTACTGGATTATTTCCATTATTTTCACTATTTTATAATATTAAGGTATTATAGGAACTAAGAGCTAAGCTCCCTTTTTCATGAAAGATGCGACCAGAGGAACTTTCAAGGTATTTTCCAGCTTTCCAGCTTGGGCTGTTCTGTGAATTTTTTTTTTTTCCTTGTATTTTAAGAGGTTCAGTTTATAGGTACTATTAAAATAATTAAATTCTTCCAAAAAAGATGTAAAGATCCTGGCTGTGTGTCTGCACAGGTGAAACAAAGGTAGCATATGGGATAAATAACCCTTCTTTGTGTCTGAGGTAGAAGAAGCAAATGTGAAGTTAAGAAAGGTCAAGAACAGACTCAGAAAAGCTGAGAACAGAACAATGGCTCTGAGTTTAATTTAATCTTTTTAATGAATGAGACAAATTGAAAAAAAGGAGTAGAGTGGTGAAGGATTTAGGAGAGAACAGAGATCATTAGTTCTAGTGAAATGAAAAGAAAGACATTAATGGAAGAGAAAGCTTAAAATGAAGTTTTTCTACTGTCTAAAAAAGCAAGTGTAATGCTGAATTTTTAAGTTCAGTTTTTAAAGGGGAATGGGGTTCAAAGCTCAACTTTATGAAAAATATTCTCCCAATGCTAACCTAATTTTTACGTATTTTAGTGAGGATGTGTTCACCTTGTTGAGTGCAGCTTGGTTAGCTGTGTCCTGATAGCACTGTTCTCTCCTTGATGCCTGGATGAAGCAGAGTACATTTAGAAGAGGACCAGTGAACTGTCTATCTTCTCTTCAGTTCTGTTGGCAAGGGACACTTACTGTGATGGCTACAGAGTAGTGTTGACTGATTTCAGCACTTAACAGGCATCATTTTGCATCTCAAAATACAGAATATTTTCCTACAGGTTTTGTCTTTCTCATGTCTCCAGTCTGCTAGGGCTGTAACAATACACAAAAAACCCTGAAAAAAACAACAACAAAAAATCTCTGATTAACCAACCAAAAAAAAAAAAAAAAACCCAAAAAAACAACCAAATGATAATAACATATTTAGTTATTATCTTAAATAATATAGTTTTATCATATTTAGTTTTATCTTAAAGACAGTAAATGCAAATATTTTCAGATACAGCCGCCAGCTTCTGGTCCTTCTCTCTCAGGCACAATGAAATGTGATTTCTCCTACATATTAGACTTCTTTAGCTTCTGGCACAGTTACACAAAATTGTGAGAGTTTTCTGGCTTGATTTACAGCTTGAAATGTGGGTACATGACCTTCTCCTCATAAATAACTTACATTTTTAGCAGCAGGAGAAGCCCAAGTGAGAAACTAGAGGCTACCACTGTGCTGCTGGTCACTAAAGCTCTGCAAGATGTTTCAGCTGTGGTACAGTGGGGTAAAAACTGCTTCTTGCCTTGTGCTGACTATCTGAAAAAATCTTTGCTGTTTAGATCCATCTGATAGTCTTTCCTGATGGAATCCATTGTGCACCATCTCTACTAAAGCCAAAGATAGGCATCAATGTCTGAAGAATGTTAAATACCTCTCATAGTCAGCCCTTACATGTTAAACAGAGGTCATTACATATTTCAGCCCACACAGATGTAGCTCCAGCTTTATGTACTCCCTTTTTCTCTGCCCCTCACTGCACAAAGAGCTCAGGCACATGTGGGAAAGGTGCCCTGGCTGGCAGCCACTGCTGTGGCCCTGCATTGTCTCTGCAGCCCCAGTGCTGGAGGGGTTGCTGCAGGTGAGCATCTCCAGCCATTCAATCCCTCCTGTCCTTCATCCAAGTCAGCATAGCCTTGGGCACCTTGGAGAGAAAGAAATGGGTGTCAGCCTTTGGCAGGTTTTGTATCAGCATCTCACTACATCACTGAGGCATTGCAAAGAGGACACAGAGGAACTTGGTTCTATCCTGACGCATTTGTTGTCAGAGAATAAAATAATTAAAATCATTAAAAACTTTAATCTAGGACACCCCCATACATTATCTTCTTTTTTTTTTTTTTTTTTTTTTTTTAAGAGGAAAAGCATATTTGTAACCCTTTTGATCAGCAGTGTTAGCTACGATGATGACTTTCATAGCCATTTGCTAAACTCAGTGTAACCTGTGCATCTCATGGAGGCTAGACACCTGTTTAAATAACCAAATCTTTCATGTTTTCCACTACACAGCACTAAACAGGACCTGTGCAAAATTTGAGAGAAGTAGAAACCAAGATATATAAGAAAATTAAAAGCTTTTCCTGTATTTTAAAAAGAAGAGTTTCTCAGAGGGCAAAAAACTCAACCAAACTTAAGTAGCATGTTTTCAGGGTGAGTTATGCACTTCTGACACAAACACTGCCCATTTGTTTGTTGATCACATCAGAAAATCTTCCTTGTGGTGCAAACACCATAGATTTTAAGAAGCTGATGCCTTTACCCATGCCTGCACTAAAGAGACTTTTCACTCTTTTTCATACATTTACTTACATTAAACTGTCGTCTCAACTAATTCTCGTTAATTTTGGGGTAGCAACTGGTTAAGAACTTAGTGTCTTGAGATGCTGTGAGGCCACTAAAACTGTTCTTTAGATATGTTAGACCCTTGTGAGGCCATGGAGGGGTCTTGGATGCCTCAGACACAAGCAAAGAAAAGCTGCAGAACTTTGGTTCAGTGTTGAAGCTTCCTTAGAGGAAGGGACAGGGGATGAATATTTTCACTCTTCTACAACAAACTTTTCCTTTGAGACTCCTGATTAACTCAGTCATTGATAGCAGACAGTGTTTTTCTTCTCTTGCTGATTTGAGCAATCAATTTCATGTGGCCCTGGAGGAACAACCGATATGTAAATATTTGTTTTCCTTCACTACCTCTCTGAAAACCAGACTTCTTCTCATATCTGCTGGAAAGGAACATGGAATGGGGAGAAAGGGGGGGAAATTCAACTGTATGCAGTATTCTAAAGACTTGTTATGCTCCCTGTAACTTGACACTCTTCAGATTAAATGAAAGGCTACAATCTTATGTTTAATGTGGTGCATACCAGCCTGAAAACTTGTAACCTTTATTCAGGCTATGAATCAGATTGCGAAAGCTGATGTTCACATAACCAAACCTTTTCCAAGTCAAATGCCATCCGTGGCTGCTGCCTGCCTCAGCTTGCTGTGCTGGAGGTGATATTCATAGCACTCCCCCCAGGAGGGGCTGGGAGGAAAGATACTCCCCAGCAGCTGAGGAATAGCAATAAGAGTATTTCATGGCATGAAATGTAGTGTTGGAGCCTTAGCCCTCTAAAAGGAGGCAACTGTGGGGAAATTTTGTAATATTGGGTGCTCTACCTTCTTTCTCTGTGGCCTGCATTTCCTTCCCGTTATAAAAATTGCCCAAGAGTGGAATAGCAGTGGAGCATTTCCATGGCTTTCCATTTGGTATAGGGAGGTTTGGGTCTCCTTGCCCACAGTCTCGTGTTCTGGGGGCAGTGTAAACTGTGCCTCAGGAGCTGTCAGCAAAGCCTCACCAGAAATATCTGGGATTGAGGCATGTGATACAAGATTGCAAATGCAGTCCTGATACTTTGGTACTTCTTTGTGTCCATTGTTCCTGCCTACTCCCAGATGTTAGGACGCTCGTTGTAAATATTCCCTATTCTTGTTGAGGGGCCAGGATGCAAGTACTTGGGGTGCAGTTGACTGCCTGAACTATGCTTTAAACAGAGGTCATTTGAGTTAGAGCTAGGTAAATAAACTGGCCGAGGCTGCTAAAATGTCTTTTAAATATTTGTTTACTTACTGCATTCCAGTGGTGTGGCTTACACACTATCACATTTTCTCAGTACAAGAGGAAAAGAAAACCATTCTTCTCTGCACTTAGAGTCTGGAAGCCAAGTATCTGTCTGGAACAATCTTGAGTGGCCAATTTATAGACATCCAGAAATACACATTTATAAAGAAGAGGCAGAAAGTCCCAACACTGCACATTAAAGTGGGGATTGGTGCAGTGCCTTAAAAAGCAGAAATACAACACAAAACAAAATCATCTAGATGTTAATAAGTTTTTAATCTGTTCTCTTAGAAATAATTGTTTTCCTTAACTAAAAAAGGGTAAGGAAGATCCAGTATCTTACCTGTTTGAACACTATTTTCATAATATTTGTATTAGGGTTTACATATCCATCCAAGTACAACTATTTTTCTCCTGAAAGTGCAGTCTTCTGGCAGCCATCTCACACAACTTCATGAGATAGTGTATGTGAACATAAACTCTACCCTTAAAATGAAGTGTCTCTTCATGTTTCAATGGGATGCTATGGTAGAAAACAATAAGAAGTGACCTGTGGATGTGAACAATATTGACTACAAGATGACAGTCTTAAATAGTTTACCACAGTTCAGCCAGAGGCATCAGATGATCCCAGAACACTGAAAGAACTGGCACACAGAGCTAGAAGTCTGGTAGGAACCAGTATAAATACACCCATCACATTGACTGTGCTAGCTTTTGACTAGAGAATAATAAACTTCCAAGCTATATTTAATGAAAGAAAAGCATAAGTCAGGCATGTACTGATCCATTTGTCAGTGTTTATGATTGCTGAACAAATTTGAAGAAAAACATAAGTAGAGATGTGGAAGAAATGCAACAATACTTACCAATTATGGATTCTGTAAGGCTTATCTGGCAACTTTTGTGCTAAGCTATTCCTGGGTAAGGGGGATGAAGCAGAGCCAAATCATTTGGTCTTGTCTAAAACATGCCTTTGGTTGTGTTCTACATGAGAACTGAACTGGGATGGAGAAGATGGGGAAAATGGAAAGCAATCATCAGGAAATAGTTCATCAGGAAAACATGAGGTGCTGTTTCAAGCAGATATTAATGGAGAGGGAAAGCGTTTCTTTCTTTTACAGAGGCTGCTGTGAGATGGGCCTGATTTAATATTTTAGTTGATAAGTCTTCCCACACAAAATGGGTACTCACAAAAGTTGCTAACAACAGCAGGGAGTAGAGGTAGAATTGTCTTCAGAAGTAATATGTTGTAAGGATTAGGCACTGGGAGGTCCCCAGTGCTCTGATGGTAAAGTATATGACTTTGAAAAGTCCAAATGCATGTTTTCTCTCTTGCCAAACTGTTCTCAAAAAGTGTAGTTCTGCTGAATGAGCTTCAGTTCCATGATACTTTTACCTGCTGTTCTGCTTTCCTTCTTCAGCGCTGAATTTTTCTCTTTCTCAGTTTCTCAGTGTTTTGAAGTGATTCTCATGACAACCATTGGAAAGGAAGACAAAAAAACCCACAAAAATGTAAAGAAATAAGAGGAAAAGCTCTTGTGTTTCAAGATAGCAGCAAAACCAGGTAACTGGTTCACTGACTCTTCCTCTGCATTTTGGCAGGATTATTCAAACTGTTTTTAAGATTTAAAGCAGATTTATTCTGGAAAAGGTAGCTCCCATACAGGGTTTCAGACAGCTTGACAGGATAATGCATTTTCACTGATGCATTGTGAAAAACCCTCAACATGTATAATTAGAAGAGTTTTTTGGGGTAAGGGCTCCAGTGAGCTCTGCTGCACACTTCCAGCTTGCACATGGGCTTAGCAGCAGCTTGTGCTTAATGGGAGCTTCTGAAGGGGGAGTCTTGCCACATCGTCCAGCTCTCATGTAACACAGTTCCTGGACCTCAGCTGTGGGAAAACCAGTTTTTGGGGGTACCCACAGGCAGCCAGGAGGATTACACTAATCAGTGCTAGTGCAGGGGACAAGATCTGGGTCTGTTATTGAAGAACGTGCCCGGGAAGAATCAAGGGGGTGTGTTTCCTGATGGGGATTTTTTTAAGGGCAACTCGCCAAGCATTTCAGCAGCTAATTATATTGGGAGTTTATTTTTTGAAGTGGTTATAAGTGATCCAAAAAGAGGGAGGTTTGATTCTTCCACTTGACATGTGCCAAATATAATTGGAATGATCACACACTGGTCAGTCTGTGAACAAATTGGATTTGCAATTTTGGCAATCACCCGGCTTTTGAAAAACACGCTGGAAATCAAGATGGTTTGTTTCACGCAATGCTGACAGTTTGTGCACAAAGAAAAAGAATAGAAAAATAAGCATGTTCTTGCTAAACAAATAAGATAGATCTAGGATGAAATTTGAATCTTTTGAAGTTGATGGCAAAATTCCCATTGGCCACAATTTCACCCCAAATCTTTCAGCAATGAACCTAGTAGTTCCTAGAGCTGGAAAAAAAACCCCCAAAAAAACCCAAAAAAAAACCCAAAAACCAAAACAGCTATGAAAAGTAATCTGATAAGTTACCTTCTCTCCTTGCAATGATTACCAACTGTGTATGACCAAACTGACACTGTTCTTCTATAAAACCCCCCATTACAGAAATTAGGAATCCAGGGAAGTCAATATTTTCTTTAGGTCAATAACATAATGGCAAGCAAAATGTGTAAAAGTGCTTAAAACAAAAGCTGAGAACTTTTTCTGTTCTATCTTCAGTATTCTTGCCCATCTGGTCCCTTTACTTTATCAGCCTGTCATTATGAAAATCTGGTTTAAGGTAATCTTTTTCTAGCAATTTCCTTACTTTTACTCCGTGTATACTCTCCTAAATCATCTTTGTTGTTCCTTTTTAAAGTCTGTGGAGACTGCTATTTAAAAAACTAAGAAGAGAAATGAGGAAATAAGAAATAATTTCTTGTTTTGAATATTGATATTTCATCTGTTGCACTTATTTATATTTGCAATTAATATATTTTAAACTTTTTATTATTTTAAATTTGATGGTTCTTAAACTGTATTAATTAGCAATTAAAAACTACAAGACTAAAAACTGGGGGGTGTTAAACTTTGGCCTCAAATTTAGCAAAGAAACCTAATTCCCCATTAAGTGTAAGCTTTTACGTATTTCTCAATAAAAATTGTATATATCTATAGATCTTTCACTTATAGAGCATCAGACTGAATTTTAGATTTCTGCTGCCCCTATCAAGTAACATTTACTCTAGGTTTTTCTACTATCAGCTCAGCTCTTTTGACTTTAGTGGCAGAAAAATAAGTTGCTTCAGTTACTTCTCTATGTGTTGGATTATTTTCTAATTCAGACTTTCAGTTTCAATGATTATAAGGGTTTTTTTCAATGTGAAAGTGGATTAAAATTGCTTTCAAAACAGTTTATTATTCCAACTGGCTAAGCAGAACCTCCATCTATCAAAAGCCCAGTTAGCTAATGCTTGGTTGCTGCCACTGACAAAGTTTAGCCCATCTGAGAGGAAGAATCCCACTAAAATGGACTGAGCCATCAGAGCTCTGCATTTTTGAATGTCAGCCAAACTATACTCAATATGTACTTCTTTCATGAATACTCTCCCTACTGTATATTATTTCCTCAGTAAATTTTATTCCATAATATGAAATACAGATGCTCACTTAATGATCAGATAAACATAAAAATGTAGAAGCAGATTAAAATCTGTGGAACTCATATTAATGTTAGCTTTTGAACATTACATAAACTTGCAGAAAGGATCACCAGGTCACGTAAATAAATGACTTACATTGAATTTCTGTAGTTATAGAATCACCTGAGATGTCAAGATACTCTGTGCTTTGCAAAAAGTCTGGGTAGCTCAGTGTGGCCCCTCTATCACAGTAGTGATGTGCATGCAAAAATCTAAGAACAAAAGTATCAATGACCGTCTTTGTCCCTTTCTTGCCTGTATGCTGGATTTTGTATCGAGCTAAAAATTTGATTCTGCTGAGTTGATGCCCAAAAGCAAAGGGGAAAACAAACATTCCAGGACAGCAAATGAAAAGAAATAGGTTTTTACTTGCTTCTGGTAAATTTCAGAAATCACATGCATTTGGGATAGGTGTGCAGAGGCCAAAAGAAGAACTGCTTCATTGAGTTTTGCATGGTCCATTGCTGCTCACTGCTGAGTGCTTCTGACTGCTGCTGCTGCCATTCCTGTTGCAGACTCACCCTGCCCAGCACTCGGGGTGGCTCTTTACTATCCACAGGAGGGAAAGTTCTGCTATCAAAAATTACAAACAGCTTTGCGTGTGACAGCATTTTTCTTGAGGGCTTTCAAGCTTTAACCATATTTCTGGCTTCACAGAACACCACAGGTTTCTGTGTAACCCTCGTGTGGGGGGCCTTGCCAATTTTAGGCTTTGGCTTTACGGGAAGAGCATAAGGAGAAAAAAAAAGGATGTTTAATATAATTTGGAACTCAAAAGAAAAACAGACATCTATTCCATTAATCCTTAGTTTATGGGAACAAATGGATTATTCAGTTCTTCTGCCATCTTCCTCCTAAGTTGCTAAAGCTGACTCCCAAAATAAAATGAGGCTGACGCATGAACCACGAAACATTTCAATTAATTAATCGGTGGTACCAGTCTTCTGATAGAAACATTTTTTCACCCTCTATTCTACAGCTTCTTCCCAAGGTCATGCCTTCCTGTAACTTGTCCAACGTGTCATTTTCTCACACATTCCAGTGTTGTCTCACTGAAGCAGACTGGTGGGACCATGTTAACTTGTTAGATATTATTAACACTCGTTATTTATCTGGAATCACAAGATCTTCTTCCACAAGTGACCTATCCCTTACTCCTTTCTCTGTGTCTGACAAAACCTGGGCTTTGACTCTTCCTGCTCTATGTGCATGAGAAACTGTCGGGGCAGTAATGTCTTTTATGTCTCACAAACACTTACGAAGAAGCCTTGCTCAGCTTCTCATACTGCCCCAAGGGCATTCATTTTATTTGGAACGTACAAAGTTTTAGGAAAAAAAGCCCCAAACATAAGAGGATGGTAAACACAGATACTCTTGAGCTAGTACAGAGCCCATTGATATTCTTGCTGATATCAATGCTTTCTTTTAATCTGTAATTTTCTTGGGGCTGTGGCTGATGTAACCCTAGCTGTTGACACATTATCCAGTAGCTCTGTAATTCAAATGCCCTTTACTTTATCCTAAACTCTTCATATACGTTCAATGAGGCAGCTAATTTCTTGAAAGAAGAATGTCTCTAGGCATTCAGTATAAAGCTCTCTAAAGTTAATTCCTATTGACTTCAAGAGCAATTGGATCCAACCTTTTTTAGCATATAAGGTATTTTAAAATAGGTTCCTTTTTGGTTTGTTTTCATTTTAGTGTTTACTAAAGGATAGCAATGGAAAAGCAGCAAAAATGAGGCCCTTTTTATTGCCTTTTCTTTTTCTTGCCTTTTTTTTTTTTTCCTGTTGGCAACGAGAACCTTTGATTCTGTATTTATCATTCAAGTGATACTTCTTTCCACAGATGTTTCAAATTAGATAGGATAGGATATCTGTGTGTTCTCATCAGCAAACAGGCAGCACCCAAACTTGCCAAACAAGAAAGTGCATTTGCTTGGCCAGGTCTCCTGTTGGCTTTGGACCTAGTAAGCACAAACTGGGGCCATTTTTAATGCCTCTAAGAGAGACTCATTTTTGGGTCTCTCTTAAAAGCTGCCTGTTTGCTTTAGTGTAAGTCAGGCAGGTGCTTAGGCAACAGTGCCTTTCTGCAAAAAAAATGGCATGAAGGCAATAGAACCTCGCACAGAGTTCTGCTCTGATGTGAGGAAGAGCTGCTGCCTTTACCACTCTTCCCCCACCATGTTCCCACAGTAAAGATGCTTATTTTTAACCTTTTTATTTTCCCCTTTCCCACGTTCTTACTGTTTTTTTGATAACATACATATAATTGTGAAAATATAAAGGGGTCGAAGGTTTGCTTTTGGAGTGGTAGATGCCCAGGACAGCTGGGGTTCATCCAAGACAGCAAGTCTTCAGGATACAGCTTCAATTATTGTGTGGGCACATAGCGATATTACAAATAATTTGCTTTGACTTTCTTTAACACCATGGAGACCACAGGGAGCTCAGCTTGTCACCGTGCTGTCCCTTTAAGAAAGGCACCAGCCCAGTCCCACTGTTCACAAGCAGTAAGCTGAGCAGGCTGCCAAGAACCAGCACAGAATCTAACAGGGGTGGTTTAGAAATAGACTTCCTTCTCTCAAGCATGCCCGTGCTCAGTTCCTTCCATTTATTAATCCTTGCAGTGTTTTGAACACAAGGTGCTCCTCACCCTGCACACTGGGAAAAGTAAGTGGCAAGGCTGGCTCAACTAAGAAATTGCATCCAGCAAGTGGCAGCCTGGGGGCTGGAGGGACACAAACTCCCAGCTTCTTTTCTCTGTCTGCTGCTTTGCCATTTTCCCAGCCTGGCAGCCTGGTCCTTGATAACTTCTGTTTGCAAAAATGTGAGACTAAAACTTCATCTTCCTTTTTAATGAGATGGTGCTTGATTCCATGTCACATCTCTAATGTGAAAGTTGTATAAAACATCTGAATTTGGGAGCATAAAAGACAAGGTTTTCAGACTTTGAGAACAAATTTACCTCTTGCCTAAAAAAGGCATAATTTTAGTAGGGGTTACTTACATTTCTGCACTGACTGTAGAAAATCACTTTATTCTTATTCCCAGGGAGAATTTTTCTCTGCTGGTTCACTCCTTGGCCTCCTTCTGAGTACACAAATCTGGAAGTTTGTTTCATATATGGGGACAAAATATACTTCTACAATAGAAAGCAACATTCTTTGGTTTGGTTCAGTTTTAGTCTCATAGGATAACACCGGTGAAGGAATTATACCCAGGCACCCAAGTTAAATCAGGCCTACATCATATCTACACCCTGAGTTATATTTGGCAATGTACAAATATGTTAAAAGTCATGGGAAGTGAACAGACCTTGAAAAAATACGGACCCTCCAAATGTTGATATCATTGCTGTAAACTTTTTCATTGCTCTGGTATTTGGAGTACTCTACACTGTTTAATTTGAGCTATTAACATTCCAAATGAAAGTAGCAAGAACTCCACCATAAGTTTATCTTTCTTTGACTAATCTTAACATGCACCCAAGTCTCTGTCTCATTTTCCAAGAACCACATGGTATGGTTATATTTCAGAAGCATGTTATCTGTGCTGTCTGCCTTAGCCATTTTACTGACACTGCCTAAGTGTCTGCCCTGGAAGCACTTACCTCTCTCCAGTGACTATGTAGGGAGTTTGCTCTTCTAATTTTTCTCTTCTGAATCAGAGCAAAATTAGATCTTACAGTAGACTAAACCAAACTATGCCTGTAAGTCCACCAGTGTCAAGTTGTAATTTTGATCCTTTAAATCTTATTCATGCAAGTAAATCAGCAGTGCTGTTTGT